AATGCAGGTCCACAAGCAACCCACTAATGAACCTCCCCTTTCCCGAGAGCAAAATGCCAGTTTCTGCCCAGTATCAGCTCTAGCATTTGTGGGCTAATTTTAGAGGTCCTGGATTGTAGGCCTGATTCTGCCATGTAGTAGTGAATGACCTTGGACAAATTACCTCACTGAGCCCCAGTTCTCTTATCTGTAAAATAGTGATGATAATAAAAACTATGTCATAGATAAGGAAAGTTAACATTTGCACATTTGTTGTATTTGCCACTCTGTGCAGACAGAAGGATGTGTGTGGAAGTGCTTTGAAAAGGGAAAGATCTATGCAAATATTAGTTGATAATACGGTTAGCCAATACATGACCAAAGAAGAAACACATCCAAAATCAAATAAACCTCCCAATACCTTCAGTCTTTAAAACCAAGCCCAGGTATGGATATCGGGATGTATTTACATTTCTGTAAAAGGTCGCCATACACAAATCTCATTCTTAAATAAGGACAAATTACTTTTTAGCTGAAGAGGAGACAGGTCAAGTACCTCAGAGGAGGTTAGTCACATCAATCATCTGAGAGTTCAGCAGCATCCAACAGTGTTAGTTCCATGTGTTAACTTCTGAAGAAACACAGGCTTGCACATCCAATAATGCTTCCTGCCCCTTTTCTTCCCCGTGCAGAATTAACCTCAGCTCATTTATGGGGTAGGAAAGGCTCCTTATTTTACAGCCCTCCCTCCATGCTCCAGGCATCCAAGGAAATGCCCCTGCCACTCCTATCATCCCTTGAGTCCTTAGGGCTTCCTCCTCTAGCAAGGAGATTTCCCTTTCTAGTCCTGGGGGCAGCAGCACAGCCCGGCTCTGACCTCGCAGGAGCAGTCGCCTAAAAGAGGCTCCGCCCTTGGCCGCTTGGGGTGGCTCCCACCAAACCCGCTCCTAAAAGGAGCCTCTCTCCCTTTGTCTACTCTATGCGCCTCGGGGCCTAATCAAGGTCTCTGCCTGGGTGAACTTGCTTCTCCCCCGCTTGCAGTAGTCCAGTGCTGCTCTAACTTGACATCACCTGATGGGCTAATTAAAACAGATTGCTGGGCCTGCCCCCAGAGTTTCTGATTCAGTGGGGTTAGAATGGGGCCGAGAGCTTGCATTTCTAGCCAGTTCCCAGGAGATGGTGATGCTGCCAGTGCTGGAGCTCTCTTCGAGGAACCACTGAGTCTAGGCTAATGCAGCCCCAGGAGAGAGGGGCTCGCCCCATCCCCACGCACACCCCCACTGCTCTCCTGCCCTGAGCGCAGTGTGAATAGGGAATAGCCGCAGCAGCCCAGGAGACTGGAGAACCAGAAGGCAGGACCTGAGGAATTTAGGCTGTTTTATCTTGGGCGCCCCTGACCAGTTTGTGCAAGTCGTAAAGCAGGCAGGAAAGAAGCCTATGGAAGCCTATGGGTCTTCAGTGTTATTGAGGTCTGTCATTCATCAGGTTCTACTCACCTCAACTCTTCATTCAACACAGTGGTTGGGTGCTAGGTCTAGGGTTATGAGGTGAAAGCCAGCGTGCTAGCCCTCCAGGAGTTTGTAGTAACTGGGAAGGAAACATGCAAACCATTCCAGTGCCCAGCGACGATGAGATAACTGTTCCTAGGGAGGGAGAGTCAAACTTCTGTGGAGGGAGAGTGGGTGGGGCTCTGGAATCGTCTGAGCAGCTGGAGAAGGTTTCATGGAAGAACTGGCACTTATGACTTGCAGGATGAGTGGGAATTTGGCAGGTACAAGGGGTAGCTGAGAACGGGTGGGGTGGGAAGGGTTTTCCCCAGGCAGAACGAATGAGCAACAGGACTGCCGAAGTGTAAGGTTCCAGAGGCTGGGAAGATTTGACAGGCAGCTCTCTAGCCTGGCTGGGTTCCCTCCAACCTCTCTGGTGGCCCCTTCTCAGCTCCTGTCCCTCATGGGCTGGTATTCTCTGGGGCTCTGTCCTGGCAGCCTTTTCCTCGCACTCCCATGTCCACCCCCGATGAGCTCCTCCACACCTGAGGCCTCGCTGTCTGCTCGCTGATGGGGCCCAAATCTCTTTCAAGCCCAGGCCTCACCCCCTCAGTTGCACACTCACCCCCACACGGATGTCCGCATTCCCAGGCATCCTTCCTTTTGCATTTTGTCATGGTGAATGGCACCAGCATTCATACCTAAACGAGAGGGCTTTATGAAATGACCCTCTCATAGACTGCTGGTGAAGAGTAAATGACACAGTAACTTGCTGGTGCCATTTACCCAGACAGAATACCAGAGGACGGCTGCTGGGCTCCTCGGAAAGTCCACAACTTACTAGCTGAGTGATCTTGGGCAAGTTATTTAATGTTTTCTTATCCATAAAATGGGTTTGATGATAGTACCTACCTCACAAGGTTGTCATATGGATTAAATAATATTAGTTGTTGTCATTCATTGAGCCCTATATTAAGCCCTTTACTTGGATTCCCTCGAAGATGGAGTACCTAGTCCAAGGTCACACTGTTATAAGTGGCAAATTCAGGTTTGGAAGCCAGAGTTCTCTGGCTCCTGAGCCATCTTCTTCACCTCACTGTCACACTTTCTGAAAACTGTATACCAAATAGGGAAATGCCTATGGTACAATGTTAAAAGAGGATGGCAAATTGTATACTTAGTGTGAGTAAATCCACAAATAGGAAAGGCTACAAGGAAATGTAGCAAACGGTTAAATATGGTTGTAATTTGGTGATTTTTCCCCTCTAGTATCTGTATTTTCCACGTTTTCGTTATACGCATTTTTTATTAAAAGTTACTTATTAAAAATATATCAAAAACAATTACGACTCTACAACCTGCTCCCCTGTTTGAAAATTACACTCCCTTGGTTTTTCGTCTCGGTTCTAGTCTTACCACCCTTAACAGAAACTCTTCATTCCTCCCAAAGGCCATGGTAGGAAGCAGATATTGCAGCCATGTTCACCCCCAGGCACTCCCTCTCTGACAACCTGGACCCTGGAGCGGGCTGTCAAAATCAGAGGGAAGTTCCAGACAGAATCCGGGCTGCTTTACCGCCTAGGGCTTTCTTTCTGGACAGCGCTACTTTAGATCAGTTACTTTTTTTTCTTTCTTTCTAAATAGCCGGCCGAATGCTCATTTTCCAGTTCTGGCTGAGTTGTTAGCTGCAGCCGGGCGGCGACGCCTGCCAGGTACCTGGTTCCGTGAGCACCGCCCAAACTGGTCAGGCCAGTCCGTCCTGTGGCTGTTTCTGCCAGGACTCGCCCAAGTGTGTATGCGCGTGTGTGTCAGAGACCCACCCTGCTCCCCTGCAACCCAGGTAGGTGGAAAGCAGTTGCAGGCACCAGCCTGGCAGTCAGGCCAGATGGGTGGGGCTGAATTAATCTAACCTGGAATTTCAACTTGGCCTGCACAACAGGTGAGGGAAAAAAGCAGCACAGAGAACGGGCAGTTTGGCAACTTGGAAATATTCCTGAGCCTTGCCCCTTACCCCCTGCCTGGAACATAGCCCAGGGTGACTCTTCAAAGTGTCTGCGCCGGGTTTTAGGGCTCAGTCGCGCCACGGCCCCCTCGAGGCTGTCCGAGCCCCTCCTGAACGCTGTCCTCCTCAGTTACCCTCCGCGACGCGCCCGTTCCCCCTCCTCCGGGAGGCAGGGCGGGGGTATCGGATTAGTCTTTGTTTTCGACGCGAAAGAGCCAAGCGCGGCGCGGGGGAGGCTGGCGATGGCAGGGTCGTGGGGTCCACCTGGACAGGGCATTCGGCCGTGACCCCTGCGAGGGTGCCCTTAGCCTCTGCCCCTGAGCAACCCCTTCTTGCCGGCCAGGCTGACTCGGTACGCAAACACGCGATGTCCCCCATTGTCCTGCCTCAGAATGAGCCAGCAGCAGCTGGGACAGGGGGGTCAGTCGGGCCCGGCGCTCAGGCCTCTCGGGAGCGCCGGGGCCGTCCCGGACCGATCT